AGGACGCCGCTGGCCCCGTTCCAACCGAACTGGTTGGAACGGGGCGAGAAACCCACCCCTGATGCATACGTGTAGAAAAGGACTGTGGAATTCACCTAGGAAAATGTTATATGATAATCCCAGATAATTTCTGGTTGGCAGACAAAGCTCTACAGGATTAATCAGCCTTATAGTCTAACAAAAGAACAAAAGACCACAGATGATTATGGAAGTGGCCGTGGAGGAAGGAATTTATTTTTCAATTGCCATTGACACAAATACAGGAATGGTATTTTGTCTGGTAGCTGAGCAGGTGACAACATTTAACTATTTTTGGCTGATCTGGGAAAAAAACTGGAAAAAATAATCATCTGATTATTACTCAGATGAGAAACCATCAAGAACTTCCCAGTTTGCAGGCTACATTGGGAGATTAACAACAACAAAACATCCTGGAAGAAGCAGCAAGAAACCACTTCTATACTGCTGCCAAGGAAACTGCATTGATACGGGGGCACAAGTTTCAACGTGTGTTTGAATTTGAAAGACAATCTGCTTCTTTCTCCAGGTAGAACAAAAGCTTCTTTTTGCGAACCACTTCCTCAATCTCCCTTCCTCTGCCATTGCATTTCCCACCATCATTAATGTCTCCCAAACCTCTTTAAAAAAATAAAAAAATACTATTGGAGGATTAATAATAGTGATACTTTCAAGTCATATGCTAATTGGTCCAAGCTTCTGCCAACCTAGCAGTTTGAAAGCATGTAAAAATGCAAGTAGAAAAATAGGAACCACCTTTGGTGGAAGGTAACAGCGTTCCGTACGCCTTTGGCGTTTACTCATGCCAGCCACATGACCAGAGAGACATCTTCAGACAGTGCTGGCTTTTCGGCTTTGAAACAGAGATGAGCACTGCCCCCTAGAGTCAGGAACGACTAGCACGCATGTGCGAGAGGAACCTTTACCGTTAACCTATTACTGAATTATTTCTGCAGCAAAATATCAAGAATATTACATTTTGGATTCTGATCACAGAATTCTGCTAAGTGCAAATTGGATCAAGGTAACAGAACCAGAATTCGGCCAACTAATTCTTCCCTATGGATTTGCTGACTATCAATTATATTTATCTTTTTTTTTTTTTTTTTTTTTTTGCACAAGCAAAGCTTCTCCCCCTCCCTGGCTATACTTTTGCAAAAATGCTGCTTACCCATCAATCCAAAGAGGAAGAATGTGTTTTTTAATCAGATCCAAGATTGCTTCAAGCCACGCCCAAAATGTAAATGATTTACCAGGCAAGTGTTCCTGTTTACAAAATGAATTTGGGTATAGTATAAATGAAACAATATATTTAAGTACAACATCAATAAGCTCACATCATTTAAGTCAGTGTTTCTCAACCTTGGCCACTTGAAGATGTCTGGACTTCAACTCCCAGAATTCCCCAGCCAGCGACTGCTGGCTGGGGAATTCTGGGAGTTGAAGTCCATACATCTTCAAGTTGACAAGGTTGAGAAACACTGATTTAAGTCATTTACAAAAAGGTTGAAATATAAAGCACACAGCACTCTACTGCCATTTTCCATCTAAAGGGGAACTATTGCTGAGTAAAGGTAGTCCTCGCTTACCAACCACAATTGGGACTGAAAACCTGAACTTGTTAGTCAAATCATTGTGGGTTATTAAGTGTGACATCACAGGACTGCCACTTGGGACTTCCTGCCAGCTTCCCCATTGACTTTGCTTGTTAGAAGTCAGCAATGAATTGTAAATGGTCACCAGTTGCAAAGCACTGACATTGAAATCACGTTGATTGTATGGATGCTGAAAAGCTGCAACTTTGAAGATCTATTGTAAGATTCCTTTTTCAGCACCATTATAACTTTGAACAGTTGCCAAGCAAGCAGCCAATAAGCAAAAATTGTAATCTCTCACAATGATTTTTAAGAGGGCTATATATTCATTTATTATCATGAAAAAAACCTAGATATATTATATCTACATACAGGGAGTCCTTGACTTACAAGCATTCAGTTAGTTACCATTCAAAGTTACAATTGCACTGCAAAAAAAGTGACTTATGACTGTTTTTCACACATATGACGATTGCAGCATCCTAATAATCATGTGATCAAAATTTGGTTGCTTGGCAACTAGCATGTATTTATGATGGTTGCAGTGTCTTGGAATCATGTGATCACCTTTTGCAACCTTCTGAAAAGCAAAGTAAATGGGGAACAACCGTGTTATTAACTTAACAAGTACAATGATTCTATTAACATCTGTGGAAAGAAAGGTCATAAAATTGAGCAAAATTCACTTAATAATTATCTTGCTTAGCAACAGAAATTTTGGACCCAATTGTTGTTGTAAGGTTGAATTACAAGGACTACCTATAATTCTAAATCTATTAAATGAGTTATTAAAAAAATGAAATAAGTTTTATCTGGCAAGACTCTCAAACGAGCCATGATACTTAACGTATTGTCTTCAAGGTGCTTATAGATCAGTTTTATCTATTCTAGCTAGCATCTTCTGTACCTGAGTCAGATGAAATGATCAGAATTTCCCCTCTTTTTAAAACAGTGACATTAGCTCTGTACAAGTGTTCCTTAATAGTTGCATTTTTTAATAACAGCAATCTTTAATAGCTGTATTTCACTCTTGGGTATCACTCTAAGAGGTCTCCATTATGCCTTTTAAAATACATATGCCTTTTCCTAGTAAGAACTCAAACTCACCTAGCTGAATACTCTTAAGTGTTAGTATATAGTCAATGAGGGCAATGAATTTTACAAGTCAATATTTTTTTCCAAATATTTAAACCAATATTTGGTTTAAGCAATAGTTTTATTTTTTTTTTGCAAGGCATAATATATCTTAGGCTCTTTCTTTAGAATTTCAGTTTACATTCCACACAGACAGAACCAATTCACACTTGAGCAAAACATATTTTTACCAGTCCTTGTCGTGTCCCTTTTTGAATTTCACAAGATTTTGATAGTTCTTGATTAACTATTTTTTGTGCTTTCTGAGAAATGAAATTAATGTTACTCATTTAATAGAATTATCTTCAAGGTTCATATATTCCAGAACTCCAAATAAAAAAGTCCACTTCAAACTTCCAAAGGCCTTTTCTCCGTCTTAACAGTATCAGAGAAGCTTGTTTTTCATTATGTTGTTCCAAATATTACAAAATATCCAAATCATTTCTATTATTATCTCATAATTGTCTTTTGAGTTAAAAAAAAATCCTAAACAGAAACTAGTTTTGCTGGTTTTGCTCAAGTGTTTTATGAATGTGTCTTCTACAGGCGTTTCCAGTATTTTTTAAGAGAAAAAATGTAAACAGTGTCAGTCTTAACTTTTCCACTGTTCCTTTTTAAAAACATTGTCAATACATTTAAAAATTGCTCTGTAGCATATAACAAGTAGTTTCTTTTCCAAATAGTACAGCCACCCATTCACTCCCGAAGCAAGGTAAACCCACTAACCATTGTATTTGCAATAGGGAGAACGCATTTTAACAGTAAGGTTACTTATAGAAATTTCACATAAGGATACAAAAAGGTTCTAAAGACAAAAATAAGACCCTTATAGAAAGGTCCTGTGATACTGCAAGATCAAGCTTATATAATAAAAAAGTAGGAAAGTAACATTTTGAAAACGAGATGTATTAATGACATCCAGTACCTTACAGAACTTTGACCATGAAAGCTGATAATCACCAGAAGTAATCTGTTGCCCTAAAATATAAATAGAAAAAAGTGTGGGTAATGTCTTTCAAAAAATTCACTTGTTTTCAAATGAAGTCATGATAGTTTAAAAAGAGAAACCTGTTTTCTTAACTGGAACTTCAAAACAAAGACTCTTTTCTACTACTCTTAATTGAAATTCTCATGTCCATGTTAAACATTGGATGGGACATTTTATACATACTTCTTTAGTCTGATAAGGCAAAGCACAGTCTTGGTTCCCACCTGTTAGCTTTTCTGCCAGCATACTGAGTTGATCTGAATTCAGTCCACGGCCAACATATGATGAAAACTGCCAGCTCAGGACTTCTAAGAGTTGACTCAAAGTGACAGGGATTGGATTATTAAAGAAAGCCAAGTTCTGCAGCCAAATAAAAATTAATACAGAATATGATTAGATCCATTTCTTGTTTTTGTGTATTACTATAAACTGCTGGGAGCCTCTGAGGGCCCAACGATAGGGGAAAGAATAATAATTATATTTAAATATTGTGAAAATTCAAGGCTTTTAAATAAAGTCAAAAGCCCTATGTAGTTCATTTTTGGAGACTCTGGAAGGAAACCGTCAGTTGCATAATTAAAATAAGGATATTAGTAGGTTTCAAATAATATGGTGATGTTTTACAGTTCAGAAATTTTAAAACAAGTCTTTTTACAGGCAAAACAGGCAGTTATAATTCAGTTTTACTGTACAATGTTAAATAGCTGAGGTGGCACAGTGGTTAAATGCAGCACTGCAGGCTACTTCAGCTGACTGCAGTTCTGCAGTTCGACTGTTCAAATCTCACCGGCTCAGGGTTGANAGTCCAAGGGACTCAATGCAGGAGTCTTCTTCTCCAGCACCAGAGTTCAGAGGCCTCCACTCTTTGACGCTCAGCCTTCCTTGTGGTGCATCCTTCAAAGCCTTCCCAGTTGCAATGTATGGCTGCAAAAATTGGACCCTAATGAAGGCTGAGCTCCTGATTTGTATATTTGTCTCTCTTACAGCAATGTACGGCTGAGAAAGTTGGACCACAAGAAAGGCTGAGTGCCAAAGAATGGAGGCCTTTGAACTCTGGTGCTGGAGAAGACTCTTACGAGTCCCTTGGACTGCAAGGCCATTTAATCGGTCAGTCCTAGAGGAGATTAGCCCTGACTGCTCTTTAGAAGGCCAGATCCTGAAGAGGAAACTCCAATATTCTGGCCACCTCATGAGAAAGAAGGAAGGACTCACTGGAGAAGAGGTGGCTGTATGGAGTCACTTAGGCAGTCGGCGTGAGCTTAAATGGACTCCAGAGGATGGTAGAGGATAGGAAAGCCTGGAGGAACATTGTCCATGGGATCATGATGGGTCGGACATGACCCATCTAAAATCAACACCTTCTTCTACCCTATCTTCTACCCTACCATCAATACTTACAATTCTATCTGAGTTTTTCTGCTCCATTGAAAAGGACAGCAATGTTGGCTCATTAATAACAGCTCTAATCCAAATAAAAGATTTGTGAAGGGTATTTTCTTGAGTTTGGGTCTGGTTTAGGCCAGGCGTGAGAGAGAAGGAGAAATACACACCAATCGAATTTTTTTGAAACAAATCTAGGAAAGCAAATTAAAAAGATGGCAGCCGAAAGCCTTGTGCCATCCATAAGGCTCAATTAGAAGGTACCACTGTCAAGCTAGGACAGAGTTTCAAAATAGAACAGACCAGGAAGTCTGCTTCTTTTGACCTACCGAAAGCCGAGCAAAAGAAATCAAATGCATTTTTATTCTTTCTCCAAAGGTTTTATTCTTTCCTCGCTGACAACAGAATCACCCTGATGTGAACACAGGAGAAGGAAAGAAAAACCTGACATGATTACAGCTCGTCATGTGCAAATGTTTAAGGTGGAAATTATGATGTCTGTAAGAGTAAGACCAAGTTGTTCGACAGTATTCGTGGCTACAAAGTTATTTAGAAAGTTTACAGGCCTTTTCTGTCCAATAACTTACCTCTGCCTGAAACAGAAGAATGGAGAAAAGAGAGAATAGGGGGGAATCCAAACTTGGGCACAACCAATCCAGAATTTTGATGGCTCAATGGATGGATGGATGAATATTGTTAATATTCACACACACTTTTTTTAAATCTTACATTGCGAATCCACTCAGCCTAATGATGGTGAGAAGCCATTATCTCCTTTCACTTCCAACTGAGTTTTCTGAAGAGCAAAGAGAACTCATGGAGAACATCTTGATTAATTTTCTGGATTAATTGGATTGGATTAGTTGGATTAATTTGTTGGATTAATTAGGTTGGGTCCTGTGATGGTATCACCGAGATTGACAAAACCAATTGCAAGGAAATCCAATACTTCTTCCTGTATCATTCATACTGGAGTTTCCACCCGAGTCTAAATCAACCTCCCACAACCAATATCACATAACGCTACTCACCTAGGAGATTTAGATGTCTACTAGGGCTCGGATTTTAGTCCATGGTGTGCAAACATTTGTGATTCTATTTGAAAGGCAATAAGGAATCCTTCATGGGACTGCAGGAAACGTTCAGGAGATGTCATCTCCCCGACCTCTGAAGTAGAGGTTCTCCATCAAGGACAACTTCCTCATTCTTTGCCACCACTTCTCAACCTTGGCAAGTTTAAAATGTGGGGATTCCAACTCCCCCAGAATTCTGAGAGTTGAAGTCCACACATCTTAAACTTGCCAAGGTTGAGAAGTGGTGGCAAAGAATGAGGAAGTTGTCCTTGATGGAGAACCTCTACTTCAGAGGTCGGGGAGATGACATCTCCTGAACGTTTCCTGCAGTCCCATGAAGGATTCCTTATTGCCTT